AATGAGTGTGTAATTACATCCATAAGTACAATTCAGGCAGTGGTGAAGCTTGCTCAGCTCTCAGCAAATTGAATAGTATTCAAGTGTCTCATTTTGTAATAAACTCCCATTAATTTTTATAGGAGTTAAATGCGTCTCACTTTTTTTGGGGGGGGGGAAGGAGATGCAGCAGACTAGTGTAAATCTCCTTTGTGTTGCAAACTTACTAGGTAGCCTTAAGGAAGTCCTTTCTCAGTCAGTGCTCTCCCCCCACCATCATTACAATACGGGGTGTTAATATCCATCAGTTTGCAAGCTGCTTTGGGTTCTGTGGACAAGGGTGACTCAGTAGATGTTGTTTATCTAGACTTTCCGAAAGCTTTTAATGAAGTTCCTCATCAAAGGCTCAGCAGTCACAGGATAAGAGGACAAGGCTTCTTGTGGATTAAAAACTGGTTAGTTAATAGGAATAGAGTGGATATAAATGGGCAGTTTTCACAGTGAAAGCTGGCAAGCTGTGGGGTACTGCAGCTCAGTACTAGGTCCTGTGCTTTTTAACTTGTTTGTTAATGATTTGGAGTTGGGAGTAAGCAGTGAAGTGGCTAAGTTTGTGGATGACACTAAATAGTTCAGGGCAGTGAAAACCGGGAAGGACTGTGAGGAGCTCCAGAGGGATCTGTTGAGGCTGGCTGAGTGGGCGTCAGTGTGGCAAATGAGGTTCAGCATGGGCAAGTGCAAAGTAATGCACATTGGAGCCAAAAATCCTAACCATAAAAAAACCATAAAATCCTAACCATAGGGTCCGAACTGATGGTAACTGAACAGGAGAAAGACCTTGGAGTTGTGGTAGATAACTCACGGAAAAGTCAACTTAGTTTGTGACTGCAGTAAAGAAGGCAAATGCTGTGCTGGGGACTGTTAAGAATGGGATTGAAAACAAACCAGCCAGTATCATAATGCCCCTGTATAAATCTATGTTATGGCCTTCTTTGGAATATTGTGTGCAGTTCTGGTAACCACACCTTTTAAAAGTTATTATAGCATTGGAAAAAGTGCAGAAAAGGGAGACTAAAATGATTAAAGGGATGAAATGCCTTCCCTATGAAGAAACGTTAAAGAAGATACAGCCCTTGAGCTTTGGAGAAATGACAATTGAGGGGTGACATGATAAGAGGTTTACAAAATTATGCATGGGATAGAGAAGGTAGAGAAAGAAGTCTTTCCCTCCCTTTTTCACAATACAAGAACTCACAGACACTCAATGAAATTAATGAGCAGTAAAATTAGAATAGATAAAAGGAAGGACTTCTTCACCCAAAGAATAATTAACAGGTGGAATTCACTGCTGCACTACATGGTGGGGGCTGTAAACATAGCTTCAAGAGGAGATTGGATAAACATATGGAACAGAGGTCCATCAGTGGCTATTAGCACCAAGGTATGGATGGAACACTATGTCTGAGGCAGTGATGTTTTGTATTCTTGGTGCTTGAGGGGCAACGGCGGGAGGGCTTCTGGACCTCCTGATGGCACCTGGGTTTGGACAATTGTATGACACAGAGTGTTGGACTGGATGGGTCATTGGCCTGATCCAACATGGCTTCTCTTATGTTCTTATGTTGGGGAGAAAGGCAATGTATAAATGAAGTAAAATGAATACAAAAATAAATTAAAAGGCCTGGGGGAAAGCCTGGAACATACATTTCTATAATACAGGGAAAGTACCAGGAAGGCCCTGTGTATAGAAAAATTTATTTCTATAGGCTTCATGCTTCCCCCTTGGAATGTATCTTGCTGACCTCCTGTTGTTCTGATTTCCTATGCAAGCCAGATGACTGACCATTTGGTCAATTGCCATGCCATAAACCAAATGGCCCTACCGAAGCATGTCAGAAACGCACGTAGGCCCAAGGGTGGGTTGGACTCTGGGGATCATTGACTGCAGAGGGTGTTCCCCAGACCTAGCCTATCCCCTGTTCTGTGGACTTATCCCTGAAATGCTTTGTCTCTGTCATGTGCTTTTTGGGAGAGACAAAGAGTTGCTTTGGAGCTGAGCACATGGCTGCATGCTTGCAAAGATGAAACTCTTGTTTCTCAAGATACTTGGACTATCCCAATGGACAATACTGACTCTTGGACCCTACCTGATGTTGGTAAATATGCTTCTTATTGTGTAGTTAGGCAAAACATTGCTTAGCCTTTCTTATTGTAGAATTCTCGTGGTCTGATGCAAGTCTGTGCTAAATAAACTTTACTCTTGTTTATAAATCCTGTCTGCTTGATGGGTAACTGGACTCCAAGGCTAAATTCCCTGTGCCTAGCTGGCTGCACGCTACCATTGAACCTTAAGGGTGCATCTCTGAGGAGGGGCTAGAGCTGGGTATTGTTGTTAATGTATTGTAAACATATAGGAGTTTTTCCCTCATTCCTAGACAGGCGTGGGGGCAGAATCCTGTACACCCTGTCTCCCGTGCATGGCCTTCTGGTTTCAGTGTGTAAGAGAACACAGGAGAGGGTTTCAGGTGATGACTGCAGCAGACAGGCAGGGACACATAAGAAACGGTCATCTTTCAGGTACACTGATCCTAGAGCATGAAATGAGTACAGTCCTAAGCTCTCCAAGGGGCTTCTATCGTACATATAGAACTCTGAATGTAGAAGAGCTTCCTTTTGTCTAATGATGGAAAAAGTGGTGCCTGCATTGGGTTCCCCTCCTGTCACATGGAATATTTCTCAGTTCAGAAACAATAATTTGGCCCCCTCACTGGCTAAACTTTGTGTTAACATTAGAACACTCGTGTGCAGTATGTGTCAGTTTTATTGTGGCGAGTGTACATAGAAGCAGAATCCTAGTTTTATTGCCTTTATTTTCAGCATGAGTCAAGGGTGAGAAATGTGGTGAAACTTAATGGTGGTAATTATGGTAAAAAAGGCAACTTTGAGGTCAGAAGGGTGGAACTACATACTTTAAAATATTGGCAGCTATGAAAGGAAATCCACAAAAGAGTTGTAAGTTCTTGAATAATCAAGGCCTAAATTGATCAAAGCCTAAAGCACATGCATTTGTATTGGGCTCGTTTATTATCAGTGGCGCCTAAGGCAAACTTTATAGCATTGTAAATTGCTGAATTTTAATTACTGGTCCGCATATAAAGATTACATACAGCATACAAGTGTTTGGCAGGCTCAATTAACACTTGGTGCTACTAGACAGTGTGGCAGACTCTGTAATTGATAGAGGCTCCTGTCTGTTCACCAGGGGCCCAAAATTCAAATCGTAGTGTTCCCCAGGGAGTCTTGAATTGGAGTCATGGGAGATAAAAAGCCAAATTAACTAAGCTAATTCTCTGGTTCTCTGTTATGGCAGATGGGAGAAGGCTATTACCTGGGGATAATCCTTGTGTTGTTATTACAAGAAGGACTGCTTTGCTGGGAATGCATCTTCATGCAGAGGGTAATTGTCATGAGAGAATGAATGAAAGATGCACACAGGTAGTGAGGTAAACTTTTCTAAAGGGGACTCAGCTTTTGTTTGACATGGAAAGAGGCTACAGGCAACCACATTGGTCCAAAACCAAAAGCCATATAGTACTTTTTAAGAACACCAACCAAAATAACACAAAACAGTGTGCAAGCTTTTGAGTTCTTCAGAACTCTTCATTGGAGGTAGTTAACTAACTGCTGGTATTTAACTTTGCAATTACATGCTTCCATTTTTCGTTTCTTCTTCCCAGCATACCAGTGTGCTGTCTGATATTACCAACTAGCCACATGGAGTGGCCTGTGAAATCAGTTAAGCATCCTTCAGATATCCCCTGGGATGTACACAAAGGAAACTTAACAATATGGCCTGAAAGATGCCTCCCCCCTCTTTCAATAAGTAGACTGAGAACTTGAAAACTCACATGCTGTTTTAGGTTGGTCTTAATAATTATGTGGTGTATGTTTTTCTTTAATTCAGCTTTTTGTTCAGTGTTTATTCAGTAATGTTGAACGTTCAACCTATGTGCTCTGGTTACTTGGAGAGCAACTGAAGCTGGTAAACATCATGGTATTGCCTAATCTGTGTCTGGTCGCTGGGGCCTGGATAGATCTTGTCAGATCTTGGAAGCTAATTAGCATTAGCCCTAGCCAGTACCAGAGAAGTCCAGGGTTGCTATGTAGGCAATGGCAAACTACCTCTGTCTCTTCCCTTGAAAACCCCCCACGCCATAAGTAGCAAAAAAAAATAAGATAGCAAAAAAGGGCTGATCCTTGCGTTGCATAGTATACAAGTGCAAGCTAATGGCATCCTCTTATTGGGATGCACCCTGTGGTCTGTGGATGGTGCTGACTTTCAGATTTGTCACTCATGTTGCTATTGGGTAGGGTTGCCAGCTCCACATAGGGAAATGCCTGGAGATTGGGGATGGAGACTGGAAAGGGTGGGACTTGGGTAGTGAAGGGACTTCAGTGGGGAGTAATACCATAGAGTCCACCCTCCAAAGCTGCCACTACCTCCAGGGGAAATAATCTTTTTAGCCTAGAGGAGATTGGCTGCTCAGTTGGGTATATGACAGACTTGACTAATGCATGCTTGTTCATGCTGTTGTTGACATAGTTACATTTGTTGTTTATTTACCTTTCTTTCCCCCCCCCCTTGCTTCATATCATATCCATGCAAGGCTTTGATTATGGCTCTATTTCCTCAGGCAGATTCACTGTTCCAACATTATAATTCATAATCTGCAACACTGAACTGGTGCAAGATACCTTGTGCTAGGATCTGTCTGTCATTCATATATCTATGCTTCGCATAGTCACAGTTCATTCAGATGAGGTATTTCAGTGTCTGAAGTGTTAACTGGTTTATTTTTTCCACTCACCAGAACACAGTTTATTTGTTTACAGTGGGCTGATGTTTAAATATATATACAGTCTGTAAGAAATGAATGAAAAGGACATTGTCTCAAAGATAGATTTCAAAGTCAGAAAACTATAGATGACAAAACCAAAACAAAACCCCCTTTATTCTGTTTCAGTTCAGCATATGATACCAAAACAAGACAGAAGGTGGCAGTCAAAAAGCTTTCGAGACCTTTCCAATCCCTTATCCATGCCAGAAGGACTTACCGGGAGCTTAGATTACTCAAGCATATGAAACATGAAAATGTGAGTGAAGAGACTGGGTCATGAGTATTGTTAATAGAGCACATGTAGCTCATCTTTCATATCATCATCATCATCATCAGAAAGCACATGTGCATCACTATACACTTCAATAACTCAAGATTGTTTGAACCACTGGTTGTAATCCTCTGTCTCCTGTACCCAAATTCCTTAATTTAGTCTTGCACTTAAAAATAGAATTTACTAGCATGGTAATACAAATGGGATCATTGCTGGTATGAAGTACAGGATTGAATTCTTTGGCTCTGCCCCACCCACCAGCCCCTATCCTGGGCATTTTTGTTCCAGCTTTGATAGAGCACCTCTGTATGTGCAACCTGCATGCTTGTAAGCCTGTTACTAGAACCGTGTTTCTTACAATGTGGATGGAACCTCTGAACATGAGCACAGTTGACCACATTGGGATGTGCATTCACAGGCAAAGAAGACAGTGCCAGAGCATCTGGTCGTAATGGGGTAGATGGGGAGCTTGTCTACCTGAGCCTTCTCTCTCACTATGTGTATTGCCCTGTATACGCGTTTCTTCAGTACATATGACAGATTTGGACACAATGCACATTCTCCTTGCTGTACCAGTCACTGTCACAACTATCTGGAGCCAGACAAGGGCTGCTGTATTGTTCACCTAACAACAGTTATTAAGCGGAGCAGCAGAATATAAATGCGGGCTTGAACCATTGATGTTCTTGGAGCAAATAGAACACCCCCACACACAAACATTTTCTCTGGGATCTCTGCAGGATCCTAGGCTGAGCTCAGGTCATTCCACTCTAGTGCTTTTACAGCAGAAGTCAGTTTGGAATGATCCTAATAGGTTGCCAGATTGAGGTATTGCGTATCCATCTTCCTTTTTCGTCATGAAGCAGGTGTCCAACATTGTAAAAAGTTGTGGGGGGGGAGGCATAAACGTGTCTTTAATCATATTGATGTACATGCAACATTTTAGAAATGAAGAGGCCTGAAGCCTTTCAGAAGCATGGGGAGTGGCCAAAGGCTTGGATAACTGGGGAGTCTATCTGCCAAATGCATGAATGTGGAGATAAGACGGGCTCAAGATACTGGAGGGGACACAATGGAAATCCTGATTTGCTCATATGGTGTAAAGTTGGATGCACTAAATTTCATGAGTTTAAATGCATTTAGCCCTTTTGTTCTACTGTTGCCAGTATCCTGACGACAGAAATGTGTAGATACAGATAGCAAACACATCGAGTTGCCACTTGCATTTCTCAAGATAAAATGTCATCTCTTCTGTTTCAGGTTATAGGATTACTAGATGTTTTTACACCTGCAGCATCAATAGAAAATTTTAATGAAGTGTAAGTAAAGTTTGACATACAGGTGAACAGTGGGAATGCCACAGGAACACCATGGACATGATCCGGCCAAAGTAAAGCATGTGTAAGGCCTGTGGATTTCAGTGTGAAAGTTAACCTTAACTTTCTCTCTCTGAAAGAGATAACACTTAAAAATATTGTATTTTGACTGGATCAACCTCTATGTTATTTCTTAGAGCAGGCAGTATGATTTTCTCATATTGATGACGATGAAATAGGGTTTGGTCATATATTTCATGTCATTGATTAATGACTTTCTGTAATAGCACTAAATGCTATTAATCACATTTTAATTGCCTTTTTCTGTAAAGAAGTAGATTTAAATGTCATGCAATCTTTTTTCTTTTGCATAGGTATCTTGTCACAAATTTAATGGGTGCTGACCTGAACAATATTGTGAAGTGCCAGAAATTGACAGATGACCATATACAGTTTCTTATATACCAGTTACTTCGAGGACTTAAGGTAAAAGCTGATTGATATTTAAAAGGTCTCAAAAAAGCTGGAATCTCTCTGTGGTTAATTTTTATTGCACATACATTGATAATTTTGTAATAATTTGTTTTAACTTTCTAACAACATTGTAAGACGTTTACTACACATATTGCATATTGGGATATAATTTGTACTGCAAGCCAAATTCCTATGTATCGGAGCAGAAAAAGTCCCAGAAAGCTGTTATTGGCAGTAATTGTTGTATTTTACAGTACTACCACATCCAATGCTTGAAAACATACTTTGACTTAGGACAGAATGTTTTGTTTGCATAGATTCACCCCTCCCCTTGTGCATATTGAATAATTCACGCCAGTATGGTTCCTTTAGAAAGCTATAATTTGGGTTTTTTAAAATTTGGTATAATAAAAACTATGATTTGATACACAGGCATTCATGAATTTCAAAGGAAAACATTTAAAAGCATCTAAAATTAATAATTCTTTTTTATACTCAAGGTGTTTTTCCTGCCCCAAATCTCTCGGTAGAGAGGTAAATATTCTCTAGGTTGGCAGGAAGTCATGTATCTCTCCAATACACTTAAATTGGTTCCCTGGATCATGGTTTTCTTAATGAAATTCTGTAGTGCTTTTCTACCCCAATGCATTATTTGTTTATTTAAAACATACTTACGTTGCATTTCCACCCGATCAGGTGGAAACATAAAAACATTAAAACATTTGAACAATTAAAAATAACTTTAAGTTATGCAACAATTCCATCAGAACACAAATAAACAATATCAGAATCAGAGAGGAAGGCCAACAATGGTTATTGGGGGTATGCCAAATTAAATTTAAAAAGTCTTCATCTGCTGGTGGAAGACACTGATAGATGGAGACAGATGAATCCCCCTGGGGAGGAAGTTCCAAAGTTTTGGTGCGCCAACTAAGAAAGCCCTTTCTCAGGTTGCTACCCGCCATTACGTGGGCTGCAGTGGGGGGAAACCCTATCCCAGTGGCAAAATGCATGGATTTCTGTGGGGGTTTTTTCACCCCTTACTGTTTTTTTTGTTTTTGATTACAGAAAGTGTAAATGGTAACTGACTGTACTTTGGAGACAGTGTTATTACTGTACAAGTGACAGTCTCTTAAAAGGGAAACGTTCTGGGGCCATTTTTCTTCTACATACTGCCAAAAATGGACAACCAGGGTGTAGAAATACCCTGCAAGTATTATTTAAGTAGATTACAGTGCAGTCTTAAGAAAAGTTGCACCCTTCTAAGACCATTTGGTTTAGTAGTCTTAGAAGAGTGTAATTTTATTTAGGACTGCATTGCTAAAACGACATACCTATATAAGAGGTACAATTGTTTTAGTTGGGTAAGGTCTAAGGAGGGATAGCACAGCAGAGATCCTCTGAGGTAGAGGGAATTAAAGCCCTTTATTGGAAGCACTGGGGCTGTAGGTGTGAGCCCTCTTCTGCTCATTGTATCCTCACAACATTACAGACCAAAGCGATGATGTCAAAACACGCAGTTAATCAATTGATTTAAGCGTGCATGAAAAACTGTTAAATGCTCTTTGAAACAAAAAGGTTTTACAGACATAGGTTAATAGAAAGGGGGCTTCGGATAATCCATTCCTGAGTACCAAGACAATAAAGATTCCGTTTGGATAGAGGACAGATGAATAACCTATGAAGAATGTATGCAGAAAGGGACTCACAGGTTCATTCTTCACAGGGTTGTAGAGGATGCATGGCTTCATATCGCCTTGCAGAGTCAAAAGTAAAAACCCAGCAATAGCACAACTACTTTCTCCGGTGGTCCAGGAGTGGGGCAGTCCTTGACTCCTTACTCCTGGGAAAGCAGCTCCCCCTTCCGTAGGCAGGGCCGGCAAACTTTGATCCCAGAGGGGAGGGGCTTATCCTCTGATCCCCAGTCTTACTGGCCCTGCCTTCTGAGCAGGATGTACTGGCTGTGCTCTGAAGAGCACGAAGATCCCAGAAGATACCAGAAGGTCAGAAGAAGAAGTGGAGACCTAAAGGGCAATGGGAGAAGGTACTTACCTTCCAGCCCTAAAACATATTAGAGAGCTGCAGGCCTCGAATTACAATGGATCCGGCGCCAGCTGTCCTGGGAGGCCCCCAGGCGGTTGTGGCACCGAGAGGAATGCCTCGGACCTTGCTTGGAATGCAGCGGTAAACTGCTCTTCCCCCCCCCATCCAGCCGCAGCGGTGTTCGGCGGTTTGGGGGACAGACGCTCAGTGAAGAGCCTGGGGAGAGCAGAGGCAAGAGAGGCAGCCGAGGGTGGTGCAGAATCTCTGTCGCCGTCCCTTTCGGCATTGGAATGGAGCCCCCTTCTTGTTCCAGATCATGGCGAGGAGGGACGTGTCTCCTGTGCAGTCTACCCGGTCAGCTGAACCATGGTAGGACTGTATCCATTGAGAACTGGCAAGGTGTGGAGGGGGAGAGAGAAAGAGGATTACCCCCCCTCCTCCAGTTTTCTTTTCCCCGCCCTTTACTCCTTTCTTCTGGATCTGGATAGGAGGTTCTTTAAAAGGACAAATTGCTTCTGGTCCATGGGTCAGGTCTCTAGCAGGGACATTTTACAGTCCTTATTGCTGGGCCTTTGGGAAAGGGAGCAACAATAGACAGCCTACTTCTTCCCCACCTGATTCAGCTGATGTGGGTGGGGTAGGGCTCCATTTTGGGGCTCTGTTAGGAGAGTGATGGTGGCTCACTTTCAGGTTCCCCTAAAATGGCTGAGAAGGCAGGAACATCTAGCTCCCAAGGCACAGAGAGTCTTAACCCTTCACAGATTACCAATATAGCCTCCCAAAATACTGAGCCCTCAGGAGAGGAAGCCCAGTCAAATTTCTCTCCTGGCTTAGAGAGGAAATGAGAGAGACTTCACTGGTCTAGGGCAACAGGCAGCTTCTTCCTAGGCTACTGTCCTCTCTGCTAAAAGAGACAGGAGCCCCAGTATAGAGGGCAGCCCTCCTCCTAGAAATACAGGCCTCCCAAGCATAGTGCCAGAAAAAAGGTGAACTATTAGAGCAGGAGAAAGAAAAGGGTGCCTGTCATTCAATCTAGACTCTTGCTCCTAATCTCTATAATAGAATATGGGCTAAGGTCATGAGGGCACTAGAGTTTACATACTCTCCAAAGATACAGGAAGACAAGGAGGTTCCTGGGTTCTTTCCTGTAGGCTCTGACAAAGCCATTCCCAAGTGTGCCGCTTCCTGTGGCATTATATAATATCATTACGGCAGTATGGGAACACCCAGCCTATCCAAAGTCTGGGAAACCCAGTGTTTAATAAACTCTGCTTTCTTATTCCAGGAGCCACAAAGAAGTTCAAACTTCCTATGGTGGATGATTCAATTAACTTATAAGTGTCTACTTCTCTGTTTCCCGTGGATGCTGATGGACTCCCAAAAAAGACAAGGGAGTTGCAAAGGCACTGCGTAGAGTTTTTTTGAGGCGCTTGCCATCTCCCTTAGAGTATCAGCTATGGGATCCCTGTTTGCTCAAGTGGCCTACCTGTGGGCCTCAGAGCTAACTTCTGTAGACAGTGACATACCAAAGAGCCTTAAAGATGAGCTAAAACAGATAGCTCTAGCCACAGCATTTGCGACAGAAGCCTCTTTGGATGCCATACAACTCACAGCGAGGGCTATGGCATGTCGTACAACGGCCAGGAGAAATACGTGGCTGGGACACCGGAATGCAGATCCAGCAACAAGGACCAAGGTGGCAGTGGTATCTCTCAAGGGAGTTAACCTTTGAAGAGCAGGCCTGGAATGTTACTTGGTGAAAGGCAAAGGCAAGTCATGGGTGCTACCGTCAAAGAAGAAGGATATGAATTCTAGAAGGAGACCACAGTCTTTTTGAGACCTCAGTCGTGATGATAAACAACAAATGGAAGATATAGGCGCAAGAGGATAGCTTTCTCTGGGCAGTGGCACCAGGCTGTGTCGGACAAGTGGTTCCTGGAGACGCTGGCTCATGGCTACGCACTAGAGTTCAAAAGAGTTCCAAGCAACGTTTCTTGGATATCTCATGGGAAAGATCACCAGGAAAAACACAAGATGATGTTACAGGCAATCTAACATCTGTTGGACACTGGAGTGATAGAGATGGTGCCGAGACAGAGAGTTCGCTAGGAATTTAGTCCATCCCTTTACGATCACCAAGAAGAATGGGAACACTAGGGGCATCTCGGACTTGAAGTGGCTCAACAAACATGTGCAATCACAAAAGTTCAAGATGGAAATGTTGAGGTCCATTTATTTATTTTTTCCCTCCATACATGCAGGGGACTTCATGGTCTCCATAGACCTGGCGGAAGCCTATCCGCACATCCTGACAAGGGATAATCACAGGAAATTTCTAAGGTTCACATATCACAGCAAACATTTCCAATATTGAGCCTCGCCCTCTGGACTCAAGTCCTCGCCTCAGATATTCTCCAAGGTCCTGGGGACACTAGTGGCCTTCCTAAGTCTGAGAGGAGTGGTCCTGTTTTCCTTACTTGGAAGACGTTTTGATCCAGGCAGAGTCCAGTCACCAGGTGAGCCTACACTTGGACTTTATAATCCAAGTATTTAGTGTTTAGTCATGCTGGCCACATGACCATGGAAATGTCTTCGGACAGCGCTGGCTCTTCGGCTTTGAAACTGAGATGAGCACCGCAACCCTAGAGTCGGTTTGGCTGGCTTTTGAGCAAGGGAACCTTTACCTTTACCTTACTACAGGGACATGGTTGTGCTATTAACAGGGAGAAGAGGACCCTGGAGCCAACTCAAGTAATTACACACTTGGGAGTGTGGATAGACACAAGACAGGACAGGGTTCTTCTGCTCCAGGAGCGGTTAGTAAAATTTCTCACTTATCTTTCATCAGGTCCTGAACATTTAGACACGAGGTGATGACTTTAGTATGTCTCCTGGGCATGATGGTGTCGTGCCAAGATCTACTACCGTGGCATACAGTTCATATGTATTTCTTTATTCCTTTATTCTTTATTCACTACCAGAAGGAAATAGACTACAAGATAGTCAAGAAGGTAGAGTTACCACAGTCTGTGTGGACAGAGTTACAGTAGTGGCTAGTTCCAACTCTGTTCACAGAAGGGATACTTCTAAGTGAACCCCATGGGACACATGGTCAAGACACCTGGTCGAAGCCGGAAACACCCTGGAATTTGGGACCATAAAGTTGACCCTGGCTTGCCTGCAGACGCAACTGGTAGGCAGTCATGTTCTGATTCAAATGGATAACATGATGACGAAAGTCTATATTAACAGATAGGGAGACATGCAATCCCAACGGCTACACCGGGAAGCAATGCAAGTGATGCAATGGGCAGAGTAGCATGTGCTGTCCTTAAAGGCCACACATATGGCAGGAAGAGAAACATGTTAACAGAGGGACGCCTTCCAACAGAATAGCGAAAGATTTGGAAGGCAGAGGTTGATCCTTTCACGAAGAGACAGACCATCAAGTTAAAAAAAAAGGTTTACGTCCAAAACTCACATGAAAGGGGCACTAGGAATGGACGCCCTGTTCCTAGCATGGCCGAGAGCTCTACTCTATGCCTTGTCGTTCCTGACTCTAATTCCCAGAGTGGTACAGCAGGCAATAGATTAAAGAGCAGATGTGATTCTGATGGCACCCTTTTTGTCCACAGAGGACTGGGTTCCAGGACCTCATGAGCCTATCCAGACAGGATCTATGGTGGCTGCCTCTCAGACGGGACCTTCTATCTCAGGAGATGACCGTTCATCTGCAACTGAACATGCTACAACTCACAGCGTGGAGGTTGAGAGGAGACAGTTAGCAGCTCTAGGATGTGAGACAGAGATGGTTTCCACACTCTTGGCATCCAGAAAATTTTCTATGACCAAAATATATGACAGATCCTGACAAACATCTTCTAACTGGTGTGGAGAGCAGGGGTGGACCCAATGCGGGCGCAGATGGGCATGGCTTTTCTCCAACAGGGTCCAAGTAAAGGGTTGAGTACTAGTTCTCTTAAGGCGACAGGTAATGGCCCTTTCCACGATTGGAGGGGCTAGGGAAGGTAGGTTTTTCCCCATCACCCACACATATGGCGGTTTTTGAGGGGGGCCTTCCTCCTCAATTCACCACCGGTACACAGGTTCTCCGCATGGAATTTAAATGCAGTGCTGTGAGCACTATGCAAGGAGCTGTTTGAACCAATGGCATCATGTCCCATGAAAGATATTACTCTGAAAACAATTTCTTAGTGGGGATCAGTTCAGCGCGTAGGTTTTTGGGGCTGAGAGCTTTGTCGGTACACACAGATTTATGTACCTTCTACGATGACAGGGTCGTCCTCAGACCAGCCCCAGTGTTCATCCCCAAAAGTTAACTCCTGGTTCCATATATAGGAAGATATGGTACTTCCCTCCTTTTCTTCAAACCCTGGCCATGAGATGGTGACGGTCTGGCATCATCTGGACGTGCACAGGGCTTTGAGTTTTCTATATGGACAGGACCAGGGGGTTGAGATAGACTGAATCCTTGTTTGGGTTTGTTAGTCAGTTGTCCCTGGGAAAGAGGGTCTCCATTTCTGCCCTGAGCAGGTGGATAAGGATCCGTCAGGCATACAAGGTGTAGGGGTTAGTACCTCCAGTAGGGGTCACAGGGCACTCTATGGGGGGCAGTCACATTGGTGGCATATAGGGCCTTGCCACCCCTAGAAGTCACTTGTAAGGTGGTGACACGGAGATTTGTCCATTCCTTTACAAAGTACTATAGGATTAACAAACTAGCCTTGGCAAAAGCAGTATTTGACAGTAGAGGGCTCCTTCAGGCCCTGTAGGCACCGGAAGTTGTGTGACCCACCCGGGGGGAGCACTGCTTTTTGCTTTCCCAGGAGTAAGGAGTCAAGGACTGCCCCACTCTGGACCACCGAGAAGGAAGCTTCACGGTAAGTGAATACAAATCTTCCATTTCCTTGTGTCTTTCAAGATGTGATAAGGACAACATTCAGTTCAGTCAGACTTATTTATGTATTATTTATTTATTTATTAAATTTCTGCCCCGCCCTCCCACCGAAGCGGCTCAGGGCGGATTACAAGCAATTTAAAACCAACATTTGGTTAAAACCAACAATTACAAAATAATATACAGTTCCATAAAACCCCAGCTAATACATCCTATGATAAAGTGCTAGTGCGACACCACCGGCGTAATCGGTTCTTATTGGAATGCCTGGCGAAACAGTTCCATTTTAATGGCTCTACGGAACTGCTGGAGGTCCCATAGAGCTCTAATCTCATGAGGGAGCTTGTTCCACAACGTTGGCACCGCCAGGGAGAACGCCATGGTCCTAGTTACCGCTAACCTGGCATCACTAGGCCCAGGGGGGGCCAGATGGTTTTGCATTCCCGATCGCAGTGCTCTTGGGGGAACATATGGGGAAAGGCGGTCCCTCAGGTAGGCAGGCCCCAGACCATTTAGCACCTTGAAGCGAATCCGGAACGCTATTGGAAGCCAGTGCAATGACCAGCACAGGCTGGATGTGCTCCCACCTGGGGAGGCCCATCAACAGCCTGGCTGCCACATTTTGCACCAGCTGCAGCTTCCGGAGTTGCCCCAAGGGCAGCCCCATGTAGAGAGCATTGCAGTAGTCTAGCCTCAAGGTGACCATAGCATGGATCACTGAATCTAGATCATTGCGTTCGAGGAAGGGGACCAACTGCCTAATCAGCCAAAGATGGTAGAAGGCTGCTTTGGCAGTGGCTGTTACCTGGGCCTCCATTGTCAGGGAAGCATCCAGGAGCACTCCCAAACTCTTGACCCTCGGCGCTAGTACCAACGGTGCCCCACCGAAGGCTGGAAGTGGGGCCCCTAACCCCAGACTGCTCCAATTTAGGCAAAGGACCTCCGTCTTCATTGGATTCATTGGATTTCAGCCAACTCAGCCTAAGCCATCTCGCCACGTCCTGCAATGCCCGGTCCAGATCTTCCGGGGTAGAGCCAGACTGACCACCCAACAACAGATAGAGCTGGGTGTCATCTGCATATTGATGACACCCAAGCCCATGCCTCCAGGCAAACTGGGCAAGGGGGCGCATATAGATTTTAAATAACATTGGGGAGAGCACTGCCCCTTGGGGCACTCCACAAACCAGTGGGTGCCTTCGGGACATCTCCTCCCCAAGTGCCACCCTTTGTCCCCGACCTTGGAGAAAGGAGACAAGCCATTGCAAGGCCAGCCCCCGAATCCCCAAGTCGGCAAGGCGGTGGGCGAGCAGCTGATAATCAACCATGTCGAACGCCGCCAACAGATCTAACAACAGCAGCACTGCCATCCCGCCCCGATCCAGATGCCTCTGAGGTCATCTGTGAGGGCGACCAGTGCTGTCTCCATCTCGTAACCCAAACGGAAGCCGGACTGGAAGGGATCCAGCGTGGAAGTGTCATCCAATTTTGATTCTGAAAGGACAATCAGAAACAATATTTGAGAATACTTGGACAAGATTTTATAAGTGGCTTGAAAATTAAACTAACAAGATAACATAGACATTTTAATCTTTTAAAGACTCAAAAAAGATATTTCCAATATATTTGCAAATCTTAAATTTAACAAGATAAGGTGATGAAAATTACAAGTAACTAGGTATATGCACGTTAAGAAGAATGTAAAGAAATTGAGCAAATATTCCCTTTTGTGTGTTGTTTTGTGGAAAATAAAAATTCTTTTTTTAAGAAAAAGAAGAAGAGAGGACAGCATTATGAAAGTGGAAATTAACTGCCATTATTTGCCCCCCCCCATCCCAGTGTAGTAACCATAATCTTGTGAAGAGCTGTCTGTAAGCTTTGGTTCCGCAGTGAGCCAAATGTCACCTCGCGTCCTGCCATCCCTTTACCATTTAGAATCGAAGAGAAATGAGAACCCAGTGATGCTCCACTCACTAGGCAGCAAAGACCTTCAGGATGTTGAACAAGTTGCTTTAGAGGGTGGGGACTGTCTGGTAAAAGATCTGCTGCACTGCTTCAGTTTTGAGGGTCAGTTCTGTTTTTACACAAATGTACCCGCTTGTTTGCCACTCAGAATGCAGTGTGCTAGGGATGGAGATGAAGACGACTATCTGAGCCGGTAGATTCCCTGGGATGGAAACATGGGTCACCCTTTCCTTTCCCTTGACTCTCTCCCAAGGATATATCTGGTTGAAATTTTAATTTGAATTCCCATATCTGAAATTGTTTACAGGGTATGATACTCATTTTTGCTTCTCATCTGAAAAACTATCTGCTTGCCGCACAGATGCAGGCCGCCCTAAACCTTTGCTCTGTAGAAAGAGCTCATCCAGCATGGGTTATGGCTAATAGCTGTCTTTAACCACTCATGTTTGACTTCAATTACTGACCTTCCCTGTTTCTGTTTTTCCTATAGTATATTCATTCAGCTGGGATCATTCACCGGGTAAGGCATTGTGTTAGTGCTATAATACAGTAGGTTAATTATCAGTCAGGTTTGTGGCAGTGGTATAGTTACTATACTAATACTCTCTCTGTTCTGATGCAGGACTTGAAGCCCAGTAACCTAGCTGTAAATGAAGACTGTGAATTAAGGGTAGGATTCATGCTATTTTGGTTATTTCAGTGAAGTTCGGAACCATGCATGTTTAAAAGCAAATGTGATTCAGGCTTGTAGAGATTTTTGTGGAGTCCATTTTTGACTGTTACCATTATTGTATTATCAACATCCTCACCAGTGCTAGTCAGTATTTTTTCAAACAGACAACAAGCTCAAAATACTCCATCTATGTAAATGTAATTTAAAATTGAATAGGAAGGTCTCTGAATGGGGTGCTGTGAACAGGTTTGGTTCCATGTTCGAAGTGACCCTGTAGAAACCTGCTTGTATGAAAAATGTTCTGCTTTCAGGCCCTTCTAGTAGGCATGATGGATACTACACAACTACTATATTACAGTACAAGAGTAGTGTATATCTTTATCTCTGTCTGTCTGTCTATCTAAATCTAGCTATATATATATATAAAAAGCTATTCTGGTAATGCACCCATCAATCAACCGCTTTTGTTATAATAAATGCTCATATTTCTGATTTTCCACACTGTTCCATTTTGGAAGACTTAGCCAACAGTGTTTTATCCAGCCTTTATGCAGCAGCAGCAAATGATCAAATGCCTTCAGTCGTTTTGTTCACCATTTATTTATATGTACCAGTGGGGACCCACAAGGATTTCCAGAGGGAATCTCATTTTCCCTTCTCCCAGTATTTCCTCTTCTTTCCCTTCCCTAAAAGGCCCCGTAGCCTCTCCTTCTTTCCTGCTTCCTTCTTTCCTTCCCATCCACTAGCCAGCCTTCTTTTATCTGCCCCCCTGTATTCAGTTTTCCCTCTTTTCCTCCCCCTGGCAGTCTTTCCTTGTGTGGTGCTTGCTGCTATGCTAGGCTGAGTTGTGTGGTGCCAGCCAATTGCATGGGGGGAAGCTGTAAGGAATTGTGGAGGCACCTCATTTTACCCTCTACCCCCTTTCCCCCACTAGTTCCTCTTTCTTTCCTCCTGACATCCCCAATATTCTCAGCTTTCCCTGTTTCCTTCCAGTCACCAGTCAACCTAACTTTATCTGCCCCAGCTGTCCCTCCTTCCATCCTTCTTGTAACCTCTACCTGGGAACACTGTGGCTAAGTTTCACAGTGAGGGTTGCAGCACCCAGCTGTGTGGTGCGGAACCTGCTGGGACATACAGAGGGCACCTCACTTTCCCCTGTATCTCCTTTCCTGCACTATCCCCCCCCCCGGCAGCCCCC